CAACCAAAGTATTAAAAAAACATTCATTCAGACTGGTGGAGACAGGAAGCTGGGGCAGAGAGGATGCATGGTAAGGTGGTGGCTGGAAGACTGGGTGGGTGAAGCAGCGGCTGGTGGACTGGGCCATCCCACATTCACATGCATATAAACTGAGAGGAAAACTAGGGAGACAGAATGCACAAGCAAGGGTTCCAGGGAAATAAAGCCTCAGTACCTCTGGCTGTAAAAATCTGCAAATTGTGACAGTGAGAGAAACTCCAAGCCTCACAAGAGAGTTCATAGGAGAGATCCACAGGATCCTAGAATGTAAACAAGTTCACACACCCAGGAACCAGCACCAGAAGGGCCCAATTTGCTTGTGGGAAGTGGGAGAAGTGACCAAAAGCTGGCAGAGAGCTGAGTGAGTGGCATTGCTCCCTCTCTGACCCCTACTCCACATCACCACAACACAGGCTCTGCTGCTTACAACTGAGAGGCATTCTGAAACAAACAAACAAAAAAATGTGGCCCAAATGAAAGAACAGATCAAAGCTTCAAAAATAGAACTAAGCAATAAAGACACAGCCAACCTATTAGATGCAGAGTTCAAAACACTGGTAATCAGGATGTCACAGAAATGGTTGAGTATAGTCACAAAATAGAGGAAGAAATGAAGATTATGAAAAGAGAAATAAAGCAAAATATACAGGGAACCAATATTAAAGGGAAGGAAACTAGAAATCAAACAATTTGGAGGACAATAAAGAAATAAGCATTCATTCAGAACAAAATGAAGAAACAAGAATTAAAAAAAAAATGAAGAGAGGCTTAGGAACCTCTGGGACAACTTTAAACATTCCAACATCTGAATCATAAGAGTGCCTGAAGGAGAAGAGGAAGACCAAAAAATTGAAAACTTATTTGGAAAAATAATGAAGGAGAACTTCCCCAATCTGGCAAAGGAAATAGAATTCTAGAAAGTCCAGGAAGCCCAGAGAGTCCCAAAGAAGTTGGACCCAAAGAGGAACACACCAAAGCACACCATAATTAAGTTATCCAAGATTAAAGTGAGGAGAAAATCTTAAAGTAGCAAGAGAAGAGGAGACAGTTACCTACAAAGGAGTTCCCATAAGACTATCAGCTGATTTCTCAAAAGAGACCTTACAGGCAAGAAGGGGCAGGAAAGAAGTATTCCTATTCATGAAGTCCAAAGACCTACATTCAAGATTGCTCTATCCAGCAAAGCTCTTATTTAGAATGGAAGGGCAGCTAAAGTGCTTCCCAGATAAGGTCAAGTTAAAGAGGCTCATCATCACCAAGCCCTGATTCTATGAAATGTTAAAGGGACTTATCTAAGGAAAAGAAGAAGATCAAAAACTATGAACAGTAAAATACCAACAAACTCCCAACTATCAAAAGCAACCTAAAAATCAAAAACAAACTAAGCAAGAAATGAGAACAGGAAAAGAATTACAGAAATGGAGATCACATGGAGGGGTATCAGCAGGGAAGGGGAGGAGGAGAATAGGGGAAAAGATAGAGGGGAGAATAGGGGAAAGGTTACATGGAATAAGGAGCATAAATTTTAGGTACAAAATAGATATGGGGAGGTTAAGAATAGTATTGGAAATGTAGAAGCCAAAGAATTTATATGTATGACCCATGGACAAGAACTAACGTGGAGGGAGTGCTGGTGAAAGGGGGTTGCCGGGTAGAGTGGAGTAAAGGGAAAAAAACATGGGATAACTGTAATAGCATAATCAATAAAATATATTTAAAAGAAGAAAAACATTGTAAAAAAACATGTGCACTGTGATTTTTTTTTTTTTTTGTAGTTTTCAAAAAACTACAAGATCCTCACTTCAGAGGAAACAAGCCACACTTGGCAGTGCAGCCACCGCGTGCTGGGCACTTGCTGGTCATTCTGATTCTCATTCTGCTCCCTTCACAGGACACTGGCACAAGACCCAGTGTGTTCCTCATGACCAGCCAGGGCTGCCCCCCTCCTCCTCTTCAGAAAAGGCCTTCTTCATCTTTCAGGGAGGGTGAAGATAAAGTTTTGGGAGAGGTCCTCTATTCTTGCCTTGTTCCTACAGAATGCTTCGGATTCCCATCAGGTGATTTCCAAGGGCTCTGTCAAGCCTGGCCAGCAGAGGGCAGTCTCCTACATCTGGGGATCAGAAAACAAGTTGAGCAGGCTCTCAAGGCCTCTGTTGTTCTTGTGGCACACTTTCAAAGCTATCTTAGCCACAGTGAAGGAGGGGCCTATCAGGAGCTTTCAGAAGGACAGTGTCCCCAAGGAAATTTCCCAGCAGTGACTTTCTTCCTGAGAAGGGGTCCTGCAGGTAGTGCTCCTAGAAGCTAGATGCCCAGGTACACCCTTCACCACTGCTTCTGCCATTAACCCTGGTCCATAGCTCAAGACCCTTTGTCCCAGGAACAGACCAAGATCCATCTGTATTGTATATCTGTCTGTGGGTCATGGAGGCTAGGAGCTCTCTGAGGCTCAAGGAGAGCTCTCTGATCTATTCTCCATGTTTTCCATGGCATGGGGGTGGGAGTGCAGGTGGGGCCACGGCAGCCCAGGTGACCACGTGTTCAGTTGACAAATGCTATTGAGTACCTACAACTTAGTGGCTACAGAGCCAGGCACTGAGTGAATCAAAATATTCAGGCCTGCACTTCATTCTCCATGGTGTCTGGGGGGGGGGACAGATATTCAACATATATTTGCATGAACTACTGTAAATTACAAATATGATGAATACAACAATAACAAAAATGGTACTGTGAAAGAATAACTTGAGGTTCTACTTTCTCAGCGGCAGGAGGACTGGTCAATGAAACCCTCCTTCTTTTGAAGATAAAATGCCAGGGCTTGACCTCACTTGTCCCAAGATTAACACCTCTGAACCTGTTGTCCCTTTAGCAGATGTCCTGGCTTCACTCTCCCTGCAGAGTAATTGTGTTCACCTTCCAAAGCCTAAGTTAAAACCCTTTCCTGCTGTGAAACTGTTTCTCCCATCCACTTCATACACCTGCAGCCAATTCAGTTCCACAGAGGCTCCTTTCACTCAAAAGAGTACTACTTTAATGGGTAATGTACTGTTTTAGTAAGACTGTATGTAGAAATATTGACTTTGGATCATTCCTGTGAAATAATATCAAATTCAGACATGCTTTTATCTACTATCTCCAACAATTTTCAGGAGCTTAATGCCTTAAAAAAAGAAATTAGAGGGGTGGACATGGGAGGGAGGTGGGGAGGGCTGGGGGGTGGGCAGGGATGGGGGTAAAGGGCAGAAAACTATACTTAAACAATTATAACAAAAAAATAAAAAAGTCTTTTCAGCACTCTTTTCTGGTGATGTGACATATATTACTCTTCTTTCTGCATGTTGAGTGTGAACTCCTTGTGGAAGGGTATTGTATGTTATAGAGGGTCTGGATGTCTCAGGATTACCCAGTCCCTTCATCCATTATTTATACATTGGGCTCCTATGCACCAGTCCATGTAGGGCCTTGAAGGTAACATGGGTGAGCCAAGATAAGGTTAAATTTGCACAGATTTCAGGGAACCACCTGTGTGAGGGAAAATGTGGAGGGAGCCAGGAAGCTTGATTCTATCATCTCAGCCTGGGATTAAGGAAAGCTGAATCTGCCAAAGGCAAACATCTATCTTAATGTCACATGTTTGCACAGACATTTCCTGTGCTAGTGCTCACATGCCAGTATTGCTCAAGAACTTCCAACTGCTCAATCACAATGTGTCCACCCTGTGTGGAATCTCTGTAATCTGAAAACAATGTAAGTCCCTGCTTTGTCAGACACCAGGTTGGGGTCTGAAGAGGATCCTTTAATGCAGTACAGGGTATCAGGAGCTGGAAATGGCACCTGTACCTCCTGTATTTGCCTCATTCATCTTCCCTCAACCATCTATCTCCAAAAACCTGCTAAGGTGCCAGCTCTGATGGCTTCAGGTAGGGGTGGAACAAAAGCAACCTGAAACTTTGAGGACACTTATTTGGTGACATAGTTTCCCTTATGAATTTCCACAGGCAAAGACCCTGGAGCATTCCATCCCACAATCTTAACACCTATGAAAACTCATGGTGAAGGTTCAGGTTGTGCCACTCTCAGTCTCAGGAAGGTCCTCCAGGGCAACATATCCCCAGGAAAGGAGACTCTGCAGGAAGGGTCTGCCTGTGAGTGGAGGAAGACACCCGGGTTGGTATATGTGAGGATTGGCTTTTCTTTGCAGAAACCTGCAGAGTTGGCCAAGGAAGTGCTATGGCAGCAAAATTTATTCACATGAAAAATGCCATTTCCAAACTGTATCCTCTTCCTCTTCCCTCTCCAAGGCATCACCTGAGAAGGAGAGTTCTGAATGTTCCATCTCAGCCTCATCTTTTCTCCCCAGGTGAACTCTGTGTTAGGTGGTCAGGACTGTGGAGAGAACAGAGAAAGATGAGCCTGAATAAGCAGAAAGACAGAAAGGGAATGAGAGATTTGCTTCCTGGATCAGCCTCTGAGACTGTGTCTGTTTTGAAAAATTTAGGTAATGAGTAAGGAGGAGAGACAACTTCTTAGCCACAGCAAAATGCTGATAGAAGCAGACAGTGGATTACAATATGACAGTAATCCGAATTTTTGTCATTTGAAGTGAGAAGCTGCAGAATTCTAGAGAAACAAGAGGATCAGACAGTTTTAAGAAGTGTTGCTCTGGTGTGTAAATTGAATTCCCTTTGGTATTCTAGGCATGAGTAAAAACTGAAACTAACTTTTAGTGCTTTCTTGTTTTCCTTATTTCACTGGGCCACATGAAGATCCAGTTTACATTTGGGTCACACACACACATGATATAGAAACATAGCTCAGAAATTTACTTTTCAGAAAACAACTGAGATTAGTCATTATAACAATCAATTGTTCATTCACCTATTAAGCAACATATCTCTTTCAAAGATGGATTAAAATTCAGTTTCATTCAATTTATTGACTCATTTATTCTTTCCTCTTAGGTAACGGCATTTTACTCTAGCTATCTTTAAAAGGCATGCTGCCTGAGCCAAGGAGGTAAGTCTCCTCTCTGCTTTAATTTCCACAGTGAACCTGCTGCAGACATAAATTGTGAAAAGAGATACTCTTTCCTCATCTGCTATAGACAGACACAAAGTACACCCAACCCTGTCAAATTAAAGCTGTTTTACAGGGATCCTATCAGCTCTGGGTGAGAGGAATTCAGACCAGTATGGCCAAATACTCCGGCACTTGTATACAGAACAGTTGTCCCTGCAGCTGAGAGCTGACGTGTCAGGAAAAGTAAAACCTTTGGCAAGATGGATGAGCCTCCCTGGCTCCCCAAGAGTGTCTAATTACCCAGAGGAAAGGCCAACAATGGTGACTATAAATTGTCCTTGGGAAACAATATTAGAAATGTTGTCCCATCCTCTGTGCCCAAGCCAGGCCTCCCTGTTCTACCCAAGCCTGCAGATCTCAGACCTTGTTCCCTAGGCCAGGAGTGGCCTCCTTCTAAGCAACCCCTCCCAGCATACCACCCACACTTCCTCGACATTTCCCTTCTTTAAATGTGGCCTCACCCTCTTCCTGTTTTCCTGGTCACTAAGGAGTCCAACCCAGGGAAAGGAAATGTTATACCAAACACTTCTTTGCCTTTACTTGTGCTACCCTCTTTAGTACTAGATCCAATTCATGAGGGGAAGAACTACCTCAGTGTTTAAAAAATGGAATACAGTGCACCAAGGTTTCATTCTAGCACTTGTCTTCAGAAGGTCTTAGGATACCCTGGAACCCTAGTTTTCCAGTCCAGTGTGAACTGTGCAGGGTGCAAAGACAGCTGGGCCCAGGGCAAAGTAGCAGGTTATCACCACAATACAAGCTTTTAATGATAGAATGGTTTAATGGTTTCCAACCTCAGATATTAAAATGAAAAACTGTAAAAAATAATAAATAAAATGTGATTTCTATTTTTAAGGTTATATTCTACCTTTAAAACACAAATGTTGCTAAAGACAAATTTTGGAAGCTCATGCAATGAGCACTGCTGTGTGTTGTCTCAAAATGTTGGCACCAGTTCAATGTAGGTTTTCCGAAATTGCTTCCATGACTGGTATAACAGTTGACTTATTTTTATTTTTATTTTTTTACCCAGAGATACAGCTGGAGTTTGGGGACAGTGGAGGGGTCTGGCCTGAAGTTTGGTCTTCCCCATCAAGGAGGATTATAGGATGGTCCTCCATGGGTGTGATGTGTGGAAGCAGAGTACAACCTTCAAGGACTGATTTTGACATATTCAGAGGCCCATGGCATCATATGGCCTTTTCCCCACTGTCCTCTTGACCTGAACTTCCCTTCTCAATGAAGAGACATTGGCTGGAAAGAACTTCACAGGCAACATGGAGCCATCCAGGATTTCTTCTTTCTTAATCTTTTCAGATCAGCACAATTGTATTTCCACTGAGTAAATATTTTGTCACTTTCTTAAAACAGAAGATGCTCCTGGGTCAGTGGAGATGCAAGTTGGCAGGGTGGAGGGGCTTTACTGGATATCTTTGATTGTTGGTTATTTCCTGACCATGAGTAACAAAATCTAATGGTCATGCGCTCTCTAGTGCAGCACACATTGAAGACATTTTCATGTCCTTGGATCTCATTTAAGCTATTCTCCCTGTTCTTGAAACTGAGGCTCAGAGAACTAAAATGACTTGCTAAAATATTTGCATTCATTGAGCAAATATTTATGAATCATCTACTAGGGAACCACATACTCTAGTTGGCTGCAGGCATTTTGGGCTGAAAAGTAGCAGTGTTCCTGGTCCTCCTGGCACTACAGGCTGCACCTGGGCTTCCTGAGAGTGGGAGGATATGACAAACTAAGCACAGAATGGAACTGAGAACAAATATAGCATTTCTCTGCATGCTACTTTCCAAGTAAACAAAGCTGTCTTTTAGAGATTTTCTGCCTCATTGAGATACACATTGGAGCTAAGGCTCAGCTTTCATCAACAGGGGCATAGGTGCTCTGATCCCCACATGGCTGGCTTAGTACTTCACAGTACAGCCAGGTGAGTTAGCAGTGTGCAGAGAACCTCCATGACTAAAGGGAATATTACCTAACCCTTGGAAGATTCAGAAAACTCTCAGAAATTTTGCTGAGTTTTGAGGAAAAAATTAAATGATATATATTAAAAAGACTTTAAAGGGAGGGTTAAAACATTTTAAATGGAATTTGCACTCTCCTGTTTTCAAAAAAGATTCAAGAGAATCTTGAATGATAAAACAAATAGAGAAAGATGAGTAAAAAATAAAAATAAAAAGTAAACATGTACTGAAAAGGGAGACAAAGCCATAAAATGAAATTTGTTCTAAGAATGACTGCTGAATCATGTATATGGGTCACATCTAGTTCCCTGGTAGAGAGAGGGAAAGGTGAAATGTTATGAGTTACATGGTTTTTATTCATCAGTTAACCAAATAAAGCACATTATACAGCTGTAAAGAGATATACGTCACTCCATGCTGGATTCCAGAGGGCATCTTTCCTACCTCTCCATATAAAACATAATGAACACAGGTGGGGATCTTCAACAGTTTTATATTTAACTAGAAATATTGTCCATGTGGTCATTTATCAAGCCTAGCATTATTTTTAAGAGCCTCTGAATTTTCATGATTTCTGAGTCTTCTAAAATGCTTACTGATAGACCGTGCTGGCAATGAAAATAACAGAATGTTGAGGAACTGTTTTTAGGGACAGTTGTTAACTAACTTGGCTTTGTGAGTCCTTGAGGTGGGTGGTTTCCATTTGTGGGCAAAGTTCTCAAATGCCATCTAATCCATACCATCCACCTTGCAAGACCAGCAGCTGACTTGATGTTTCTGATTGTCATCTTGCTCTGGACAGTTCTGCCTCCCACTCTGTCATGTGTTATCATATCACTCACCCCCGGCATAAGCCAGGTAGCTTGAATACTACCCACCTCCACATTCCTGATATCATATAATAGATTCATGTCTGGTGCTCCCTAGTAGGGTCACCTGGGACAAATATCCAGCATCCCTGGAGAAATGGAGTTGTGTTAAAAGGCCATAAAAGTTTCTTTTCAACTCCGATTTCTGCCTTTTCTTCAATAACAGATTTTAGTCCCTAAGAGAAGGTCCCTGCTAAGATCATTGGCTACTGACAGCATGAGAACTTACTTTTATGAAAGTTCTGTTAGGTTAGTTCCCTGCTTTGGCCTTTGTTATGTGATCCAACAGTGGGGCTTAGACATTCACATTTTAATCAAAGTGTCAGCTAGTGTTTATTTGAAAATGGTGATGACAAAAGGACACAGTACAGATGTACCCAACATTTGGGTCCCTACAAATTGCTAATTGCCTTGAGAATAGACTTAGTATGATTTCTTTTTTTTTCATGTTTATTTACTCAGCAAAGTGGGAATACAGGGAGCATTTCTCAAAATAATAAAGGCCATATATGAGAGACCTACAGCCAATATCATACTCAATGGGAAAAAACTAAAAGCTTTTCCACTAAGATCAGGAACAAGACAAGGTTGTCCACTTTCACCACTTCTATTCAATATAGTATTGGAAGTTTTAGCCACAGTGATCAGGCAAGAAAAGGAAATAAAAGGCATCCAAATAGGAAAGGAGGAAGCAAAACTGTCACTGTTTGCAGATGACATGATAGTGTACATGGAAAATCCTATAGACTCTACCCAAAAACTGCTCAAACTAATTAATGAGTTTGGTAAAACAGCTGGTTACAAAGTCAATATCCAGAAATCAAAGGCATTTTTGTATACCAACAGTGAATCAGCAGAAGCAGAAATAAAGAGAAAAATCCCATTTGATATAGCAAAAAGAAAAATAAAATATCTGGGAATAAACCTAACTAAGGAGGTAAAAAACCTGTATGCAGAAAACTACACAGCCCTGAAGAATGAAATCAAGGAAGACACAAACAAATGGAAACATATACCTTGTTCATGGATTGGAAGAATTAACATCATCAAAATGTCCATACTACCCAAAGCAATATACAGATTCAATGCAATACCTATTAAAGTACCAATGGCATATTTCACAGACATAGAACAAACACTTCGAAAATTTATATGGAACCATAAACGAGCCCGAATAGCAGCTGCTCTTTTGAGAAAGAAGAACAAAGTAGGGGGGATCACAATACCTGATATCAAACTGTATTACAAGGCCACTGTAATCAAAACAGCCTGGTACTGGCATAAAAACAGGCACATAGACCAATGGAACAGAACAGAGAGCCCAGAAATCAACCCAACTCTCTACAGTCAATTAATATTCAACAAAGGGGGGCAATAACATAAAATGGAGTAAAGATAGCCTCTTCAACAAATGGTGTTGGGAGAACTGGACAGCTACATGCAAAAAAATGAAACTTGAGCACAGACTTACACCATACACCAAAATAAATTCAAGGTGGATAAAAGACTTAAATGTAAGTCATAAGACCATTAAAGTCCTAGAGGAGAACATTGGCAAGAAAATCTCAGATATTTCATGCAGCAACTTCTTTACTGCTATGTCCCCTAGAGTAAGGAATGTAAAGGAAAGAATAAACAAATGGGATCTCATCAAAATAAAAAGCTTCTGCATGGCTAAAGAAAACAGTATTAAATTAGCAAGACAACCAACTGTATGGGAAAACATATTTGCCAATGATACCTCAGATAAAGGTTTAATCTCTAAAATATACAAAGAACTTACATGACTCCACTCGAAGAAGACACCCAACCCAATTAGAAAATGGGAAAAGGACTTGAACAGACACTTCTCCAAGGAGGACATGCGGAACATTCAGAGACACATGAAGAGATGCTCAATATCATTAGCTATCAGAGAGATGCAAATTAAAACCACAATGAGATACCACTTTACACCAGTCAGGATGGCTATCATAAACAAAGCAACAAACAACAAATGTTGGAGGGGTTGTGGGGAAAAGGGGTCCTTAGTTCACTGTTGGTGGGAGTGCAGACTGGTACAACCATTATGGAAAACAGTATGGAATTTTCTCAGAAAAATAAAAATCGACCTGCCTTTTGACCCAGCAATTCCACTGCTGGGATTATATCCTAAGACTTAGTATGATTTCTGCCAGACTCAACTTAGCTAAAAACAAAAAACAAAAAAAAAACAAACAAACAGATGACAGACTGTGGTTGGAATGACAGGAGCAGCCCAAATTACTCCAGTTAGTTCCTTACCCTAATTAAGCTTTCCCCATGATATTTAATGAAGTCTTTATCATATCTATGAGTGAGCAGAAATAGGCATTCATGCCCTTAATGACAATAGCTTCTTCAGGAAGCCCACTCTTCAGTGGTCTGTTTTGCATTGGGCCAGTGCTTTGCCATATCCTGGCCAGTGAGAGAATGCAAAAGTAAAGGACTCTACCCTGACTCATTCCCCACTTCCCTCCAGCCAAAAGCTTCAGTGATGAGACAAAGAAATCAATGTACTGAGACTCCCTTACAAGGAAACAAACCCCCAAATATTGCTGTGAAGTAGGTGAAGGAGACAAAAAAAGCTTCTCACTCTTCTCTGCTGGGTGGTGAAAAGCACAGGGTACAAGGTCTCTGATTTTAAACCTTTTTCTGTGATCCACAAATGGATCTAATTTTAGACTTAATTGTCTGACAGTATCATCTGAGAGTTTGGAAGGGCCCAGTCAGAGCCTCTCTAGAGGGAACATGGCTGGTCCATGATGCAAGGGAGGTGGTGGTAGTAGTAATGGCATTTCTTTTCTTTTAAATTCCACAAAGGTGTGCTGGCCTAGAACTCACTTCCCTTTGCCCCCAATTCCCAACAAAAACACCTATAGATGTTCCTCTTATTAGTCCAGGGGTTTGATGGGACCAACTCTAACTAGAAGAGTGGTTAGTTACCTGGGTAAACTGTGTCTGGTTAGGACTCTGCGTTTCCTCAGTAGAGCCTGGCCCAGGAGCTGTTAATAGACAAGGAAGCCACTTCTAAGGAGCAAAAGGACTTTCTTTTTTCTGGGAAGGAGAGGAACCTCAGCCTGTTGCTTTTGCAGACCTCACTCCTGCCCTAAAGCAGAAGGTTCTGTCTGGCTTGCTTTGGGGAAGATTTGCACAGGCCATGGGAGGAAGAAAGGAGGTTAAGAAATAGTGTCAACTACAATTTATCTTAAATGCCCAGGGATCTTGCAGATTTGAGCCCTGACTCCATTCATCAAAATTGAAAGAAGGCTTGGGACAGAAGTGGAGTGTGTGTGGTGGGGATGGATGCTTGGTTTCCTAATGTCCTAACTACTTCTACAGGAAAAGGGCCATTTTAAACTTTTCTAACATGAAAAATGGTCTTCATGTTTTATGTTGGAGGCTAACAGTTCATGGGATAGCTACAAATAAAATTCTACTCATTATTTATTTATATATCTCCACTGTAAAAAAAAAAAAGATACAATATCTGGGAGGTAGTTATGCTTATCATTGTGTTCTTTGGGTCATCCATGAAAATTTCAGAAATGTTCTAATTCTAATATGACTTTAAGTTTACCACAAACAGGCATTTTATATCTATGGGAAAATGAAATAGTACAATTGAGAAAAATAATGCAGCTATAAGCCATAGTTCTTCTTCTGTTAGTTTGACATCCTTAGACTGGTTTGGAAGATATGCTGGGCTGGTAACTCTCCTCCCACAGCATTCCCCATGCCCCTCCCACCACCTTCCCCACCTTTCTTTCAGAGCCATGAGTTCCTGGATATATCCTCTTTTCAGGTTGACTTCCAAAGAGAGATCCCAGACATTGTCACAAAGTCCTAACTTAACTTCTAAATACATGCTCCTTTTTCTTTTTCTAAAAAAAGTAATATAGCATTCACTCAATACTTCTTATATATGTCCCAAATGCTTAAATTTTATTTCTAATTTAAAACCAAAATTGGCTCAATTATTTTACTTAAGATGGGCATGATCAATGCTTAGTAATCAAGACACATCTCCAAAAGATAATTCTGAAGCCTTTAGTCACACCTCACAGGGCTCTGTGCTCAGGGAGGGCAACAGCAACTGATTCATGAGGCCACTCCTCCATAGAAAGGGTCCATCTCTGGGAAGGTGCAGATGTCAGTTGGGCTGACATCTGAGACACTAGAGCCTGTGATTTTGACTAAAAGTTGCTGGTTTAAGACAGTTGGAGCTAAGTGACCTCAGGGCCTGTGCAAGGCTGGACAGTGACCCAGCTGATTACATTAGGCTCCCTCCATCCCATTCAGATGGCAGAACCATGTCAGAGGATGACACACAGTGAGCAGTAGAAAAGAACAGCATGTGTCCCATGCAAGTGCTTCTTGTAAAGGGAGTGCTTATTTGGTGGCATTTGGCAGATAGATATTTTCAAAGATAAAATGCTGATCAGGACTTTCACACATATAATAAAACTAAGGTAGGATTGTTAAGTAGCTAAGATGAGAAATTGTCTTTTCCTAGTATTTTAATAATTCCTCAGGATAAGCAGACCTCTGGTGATGTCACTGGCATTGTCCTTATCTCCTTCATTGGAAACTGGGGTTTGTGTTGGGATTTGAGACAGTGAAAGGAAATTTATTCAAAGATAACTTCACAATATTGATGATCTCGTGTCATCCAATCCATAGTGAATATGAGTTGACAGAAGATCAACTGGCTATAGCAGAAGTGACTTTGTCACTCAGGGCTTGATCCTTTAGAAATCTTTAGAAGGCCTGACAGCCTTTTCATTTGTGCTTTGATAGTCTGAGCTGCCATGAAATATGTCTCTGTGTAGAGGGAGATATCCTGAGATCTCTCCTGGTTGTGTCATCCCCTGGTTGTCTGCCAAGGTGCCAGATATGTGATTGAGTTGTCTTGAATGTTCCACTTCTGGTGAAGCCCTCTTAACGCAGCCTACATCAGCTTTGTGAACAGCAAACTAGCACATGGTCAGTCAACCTACACTTGTGAGAAATGATAAATTAGTGTTGATTTAAGTTTTGGAGTAGTTTATTTTGCAGAAAGAGATAACT